TGCTGGATTTACATTAATAGTGAAATTCAATAAACAACATAGATGTCTTTTTTTTTTAATTATAATACAATCTGGTAGGAGTCAGGATTTAGTTTAGCTCACAGTTTCATGGTGGGGAAGGCTTGGCAGCTTGGCACCCATGACAGAGGGAGCTTGTGACATCTCCCAAGGTTAGAAAGCAGAGAGTCCTGGCCTGTTCTCAACTATAACTCTAGCTGTATCCCTTTAGTCCTACATCTGCCACGTAGATCACGAATCCAAAGGTTGTACAACTCCCAAAGCAACACCACCAAGTGAGGACCAACTGTTCAAACATAAGCCAATAAGGACACACTTTGCCTTCAGATCTTAACCTGATATATTAGTGTAGAGATAACTGCTACCAGGTTTTTACATTGCTATGAAGAGCATAGAAAACAAATTTTAACATGGTGCCTTTCATGCAGTATAGTTACAGGCCTTTGTAAAGTATCATCATGTAAGAGTCACCTCAATTTTAAAAGGAAAGTATGAGAGAAAAAATAACAATGTATAGTTACTTTAATGTGGTATGAGAAGTATATTGTGATTATGTAAAGGTAGCACATGAATATAGTAATCTAGAGCAAAATTACAAATACTAAGGTTAAACTTCATAAAATAGAGTCTTAGGGACTTTGGTGATTGATCTCTAGAGGGATTCTGAAAGCCTCAGAACTGGATGAGGAATTTGACAGTAAAATCAGGCACTGGAGTCCTCATGAGGGGTGCTAGTGATTTGATGTGACTGAAAACTCAGCATTGCAGAGGAGACATATTGATAAGTAGACCTCAGAGTTACTGTGAGTTTCATTTCAGACCTATGCAGTAAGGCAGCTATCACCACATAAATGAATCAAAAAAGTTTTGGTTCTGTCAGGATATGTTACATCTATATAGTACTACAGTTGAGCAGTAACATCTTTTAAAAGTATATGCAGGGATTAAACACTATTGCTGTAAAACAACAGTGTTCTGAGCCCTCAGTCATACTCTTAGTGGAAGGAGGACTTCATATTGACTGCTCACTGGTTGGGGGTGGGTTGCTGAAGGTTAGGGGAGGGGTAATATGACCATTTCTGAAAGAGTGAAGGCTGCCACATCAATTGATGCTTCCTTTTGTGAAAGATCACTCTGTCACATGGAAGCTGTGGGATAGCAATTGGTGCTTTTTGAACTTCCCTTAAAATTGTACGGAGCCCTCTCAAAGCTCTACCGTGCTTTCTCAACTTTGTTTATGGATGTTATGAATCCAATGTTGTCATTTGAGCAGTGTTCACTGTCCTCATCAGGATTGATTTCCATCTCTAGAAACAAACCTCTCTGTGCCCCTCTGTAAGAATTACTGTTCAGTTATTAAAGTTTTATGATGAAATTCTACTCAGTCATATATTCGGACTTCATTTCCACTTCTAACATGAAATTTCAGCAACCTCTGTCCATACTTTAGTTCCCTTGCTATTCCTTCCATACCTACAGTTGCTGCTCCCTGGTCTTGAATTCCATGGAATTACCAGGGGATTCAGATCAGCTTCTTATAAGATGCCTCCTACCATCACTGATGCTCATATTCACATCGAGAGTGCTGAATCCCTAATCTTTTCCAGGTGGTTTTTAGTTTCCCTTGGTGAGATCCATCCACGGCCTAAAGCACTTAGGCCGTGCTCTTAAAAATGCATTTCTTAAATAAGATTTGAAGCTCCTCATTGATTCACAGGCTTCCGAATGGATGCTTTGTTAGCAGGTGTGACACCATCATTAAGTATGTTATACATCTCTGTGAGGTCCTGGGTGGCTGGGTACAGTGGCAGTGAATGGTAGTATTTTGAAAAAACCTTCTTCCTGAGAAGCAGGTCTCAGTAAATTGTGCCGAAGGAAGCACCAGGCTTTGTTACTCCAGTTACACAACACAGGGAGAGTAAATTTGCTAGAATTCTAAAGGGAATTTGGAGAATGATAAAATACCACTAGCTTCAACTTAGGGCCTTCAGCTGCATTCGCCCCTAACAAGAAAGTCGTGCCTATTCTGTGAAACCTTGAAGCCAGGATCGTCATCTCTTCTTTATTTATGAAAGTCTTTGTGACATCTTTTTTTCTAATATGAGGCTGTTTCATCAACACTGAAAATGTTATGTAATGTAGCCACCTTCAGCAGTATTTGTAGCTATATCATCTGGATAACTTGCTGCAATTTCTACATCAGTATTTTCTGCTTCTCTTTGGACTTCTATCTCTAGACCTCATAAACCAACCTCTGCTAGCTTTATAGTTTTCTTCTCCTCTGGCTTATATAGAATTAAGGTAAGGCCTTGCTCTGCATTAGACTTTGGCTTGGGGATACCATAGTTAATCTTCCAGCCAGTTCACCAACATATTCTATATCACCAGTGGGGCTGTTAAATCCTTGTGCCATTCAAATGCACAGAGCAGTAGCAATGTCAGTTTACTTCTAGAACTTTTCCTCTGCTTTACTACTTAGCTAGTTTGCATAAGAAACGTGGTTTGTCATGCCTTTCTTCCAGCTTTTGATTTAAACTGTGTCTAGAGTGTTTGTTTCACGTGAACACCTAAGGTGTGTTGTAAGATTAATACTTGACCTAATTTCAGGATTGTATCCTAGGAAAGGGAGGAAATGGAGAACAAGAGGTTAGTGAATGAGTCAGAACGCATAGAACCCTTATTGGGTTCACAGTCTCATACAGGTGTGTTTTATGGTGTCCCAAAACAGTAGTAATAATGATAGCAAAGGTCACTGATTACAAATCACTATAATATCTAATAGCAATGAGTCAGGCCTGGAAACCTGGCCATTTGGGATGCCAAGATGACTGGATTACATGTTCAGGATATAGAACGAGTTACAGGCCAGCCTGGACAACTACGTGAGACTGTGTCAAAATAAGGAGTGAAAGGGCTTGCCCAGCATGTGTGAGAAGGCCCTCAGATCAGTTCCTAGCACTACTCCCTCTAGTCCCCCGCCCCTCAGGGCATTACACAGCTGACAGTGATACAAAGTGAGCAGGTGCTGTTGGAAAAACAGCCTCATTGAATGTAGATGACCACTGCCTTCAGTTGATGAAGGACATGATGTCTGCAAAGGCCGTACTGCAGCATACACCTGGGTCTACAAGGAGTGAAAGATAAACTTCTTCAAGGGATAAAAACGCGTGCAGTACCCATGTGAGAAGACCATGGCATAATATCTACAAAATTTGGAGGAAAAAGTGTACTGAATCAAGTTGCAGTTTCTCTGTGAAAGTAGTAGGCATTCTGGAACATGCAGGAATTCCATGTGTAGCTCCAGTTAGCACTAGCGCTAGTTGCTGAGTTCCAGCTGGCCAAATGTGACAGGAGTGAAGAATTCTGATTAGGAGAGCTCTGATAAAGTAATTTGATGAAGTTGGAGTCCAGTTTCATGTAGCTCCAAGATGAAGCAGTAAAACAATTAGTTTAAAACAAACATTTACTAAATAAAACTAATAAAGTTGAATGTGAGCATGCGTATACATACAGATTTCTACATTTGTCACAGAAAAAAAACATGCTGCCTATAATTCAAATTATGTTACAAAACTTTGTTTTGATAATTTTCTGTTTCTTATAAAAGGATCGTTTATTTAGAGAAAGGTTGTTCTAAATATTTAACTTCTTTAGATTAATTTCATTTCCTTTTGTCTTATACGTCCAAATAAATAGAATTTACATGTTAAATCTTAGAAATTGCATGACCAATGTACCGAAGTTCTTTAAAACTATAAAAAGTGGGTAAGAGTCAGAATTCTTGATTCAGTTTGCTAATGTGACCGATGGTGCTACTGATCTGTCTGCATTCATCTGTAAAAAGTCAATACTAACCCCCAGTTTATTCATATAAGCTCTTACCACGTGTTTGCTCTTACTTATGTGTGTGTGTGTTCACACATGCATGTGTGCCATGGCACATATGTGGGGCCTGAGCTTGCAGGGGTCACTTCTCCCTTCCACCACGCAGGTCTCAGGAGTCAGACACAGGTTGCTAGACTTGGCAGCAAATACCTTTACTCAGCCACATCCTCTCCAGCATAAACTATCATTGATGTTTTTGATTTTAGCCATTCTGACAGGAGTCAGATGGTATCTCAGAGTTGTTTTGATTTGCATTTCCCTAATGGCTAAGAATATTGAGCATTTTCTCAAGTGTCTCTCAGCCATTTTAGATTCTTCTATCGAGAATTCTGTAGTTCTGTACTCCACTTTTTAATTGGATCCTTTGGTGTTTTGGAGACTTGCTTCTTGAGTTCGTTGTAAATTTTGGAGATCAGCCCTCTGTCAGATATGGGGTTAGTAAATGTCTTTTCCCATTCTGTGGGCTGCCTTTTTGTCTTGTTGACTGTGTCCTTTGCCTTACAGAAGCTTTTCAGTTTTGTTAATTGTCTATCTCAGTGTCTGTGCTACTGGTGTTATGTTCAGGAAGCAGTCTCCTGTACCAACTCGTTCAAGAGTTGACAGCCAAGAGTGAAAGTGACCCTGGCAAACAAGCTTGGTTCATGGTGAGAGGACGGTCCCAGGCTCTGTGCCAGCCATTCCCAGTCTGCCTACTACTTATGATTGTTCACAGAAAAAGTAGTCGTAGGTGAGGAGAAGGTGAATACTATTGGAAATATTTTCTTGGGCTAGAGAGATGGCTCTTCAGTTAAGAGCACTCACTGGCTGCGCTTTCTGAGGACCTAGGTTCAATTCCCAGCACCCACATGGCAGCTCACAACTGCCTGTAAACTCCAGTTCCAGGGAATCTGACACCTCACACAGACACATACAGGCCAAACACAAATGCACATAAAAGTTAAATAGATTTTTAAAAATTTAAATATTTTCTTACAGAAGGTATCAACTTCCCATGAAAACTAAACCTCAGAATTTTTCTTCTTGATAATGTAGATTATAATTTTATAGTATGATGCTAAGTTTTAAATTATTATTTATTGTTATTTATTTTTTTACAGAAATACACTCTCGGGAAATGGCCTCTAAATCTTGGCTGAATTTTTTAACTTTCCTCTGTGGATCAGCAATAGGATTTTTTTTATGTTCTCAACTATTCAGTATTTTGTTGGGAGAACAGGGTGACACCCAGCCGAATATGCTTCATAATGACCCTCATGCTAGACATTTAGATGATAATAGACCCAGTCACCTCAAGGGACAAGTGAACTTCAATGCAGACTCTAGCCAACATAAAGGTAAGGTGTGTGAAGTATTTACTTGTTGAATGTGATGGGAAGTTACGTAAATCTCGTTATGTTGCTGTCTACACCTTTTGATGGAATTGAGCACTATGTGACAGATATTAAGGTGGTTTTTGATTTATTTGCCTTGGGAGAAAAACCCAGGAGTTATTTAAGAAGTTAAATTTTCAATTAGTTTTAAGTGGAAATGGTTCATAAACCATAATAAACAGAAAGACATGAGTTTGGGGAGATTTTCTTTATCGTCAGCCTTTTTATGAGTTATATAAATGTTTTTTGTTACCCTAGAGAAACACATAAGATGCGTATATCTTAATTTGAATTTTTATCAGTGGCTTACTAATTATTTTTCTTTTTAGGGGGTCAAAGAGGTCTAGAAGTAGCAAAAGTGTGTGTTACAGTGACTTCATTTTCTACTGGTTCTTATTACTGAAACCAGACACTTTCTCAGTGGAGTCTTCTGTATATTCCTTGAGTGTTGGTTTCTCTATTTCTGTCCTTTAGCTCTCTGTATGATATCACCAATGTCACCAGTTCTTTTTTTTTAAAGATCTATTTATTTATTACATATATAGTGTTCTGCCTACATGCCAGAAGAGGGCACCAGGTTGAATTGTAGATGGTTGTGAGCCACCATGTGGTTTCTGGGAATTGAACTCAGGACCTCTGGAAGAGCAGTCAGTGCTCTTAACCTCTGAGCCATCTCTTCAGCCCCATTGTCACCAATTCTTGAAACTTTCATTTCTGCCTTTTCCTTACTGAGCTTATCTTCAGCCTGTCTCCAGACATTGAGAGAAGACACTTTAACACAATACAAACATCTCTGCAACTGGTTATTTGGCAGAACAGAATACAAGTAGGAATAATTGGAATTGCAAAAGGGAAAAGCTGTCTCTAGCTAAGAGTTGGTTCTTTTATCTTCCCAGGAGTAATTTGAGTCTTTCCTACCTCTCATACATAGATTAAGGGTTAGGGTATCAAAACCTGGCTGTGTGTTATCAACCAATACTGCACATTTGTAGTGTAGCAAGTTACCATGTTGCATGAATTTCAGTGGTGCTCTGTGTTGTTACAGAGCAGTTTGCTTGCTGTGTACTTACTCTGTTGCACAGCTCCATGTCTTCAGATGATTAATTGGAGCCAAACTTAGGAAATACAAGGAGGCTGTCTTGTACCTCACTGTATGCACATATGTTTGATAAATATTTGTTACCTTTATAGGTCACAAAATGTGGGTAAGAATTGAACTTCTTTTCCTCTCCACTGCCAGCATACTATTTCCATTTTTTCCTTATTTTATCTAACAACCATGTAAGCTGAGAACTATGAAACTTTGGGACATTTTTTTTTTTTTCATTTCAGTTGGCTTCAGCTGTTATGGAATTCTAACAATTCTCCACTGCCATTTTCCAAGACCTCTTGCTCTTAATCCAAGTATGTTTTCCATAAGTCAGCTTCTGTAGGAGAAACTGTGGCCAGCCTACCCAAGCTGCAGTCGCCCTGCCTCCTCCCTGAGCTAAACCTGTCTCTGCACCCTGAGACTCGTGACTGAGGGGCACCTGACCCAGAGACACCAATGAGGAATTGACAAGGAATGCAGCAGCCAGCCGCCCAAGCCCATAGGACCTTGGGAGGGAGTATAAAGGCAGGTCTAAGTCTGCAGCAGCTCATGGACTCCCAGTGCCTGAGCCCATAGGACCTTGGGAGGGAGTATAAAGGCAGGTCTAAGTCTGCAGCAGCTCATGGACTCCCAGTGCCTGAGCCCATAGGACCTTGGGAGGGAGTATAAAGGCAGGTCTAAGTCTGCAGCAGCTCATGGACTCCCAGTGCCTGAGCCCATAGGACCTTGGGAGGGAGTATAAAGGCAGGTCTAAGTCTGCAGCAGCTCATGGACTCCCAGTGCCTGAGCCCATAGGACCTTGGGAGGGAGTATAAAGGCAGGTCTAAGTCTGCAGCAGCTCATGGACTCCCAGTGCCTGAGCCCATAGGACCTTGGGAGGGAGTATAAAGGCAGGTCTAAGTCTGCAGCAGCTCATGGACTCCCAGTGCCTGAGCCCATAGGACCTTGGGAGGGAGTATAAAGGCAGGTCTAAGTCTGCAGCAGCTCATGGATTCCCAGTGCCTGAGCCCATAGGACCTTGGGAGGGAGTATAAAGGCAGGTCTAAGTCTGCAGCAGCTCATGGACTCCCAGTGCCTGAGCCCTTGGCGCTGCATCTTCTCACCCCCTCCCCAAGGGGTGTCCTAGCAGGGTCACCTGCAACAAGCTTCAGCTACCTGCACATACCTACATTCCATTAAACTTCCCCATGCCTTTTCTTGTCCTTTTTGGGGGGTGGTGTGGGGGCAGGGTTTCTCTGTGGCTCTGGAGGCTGTCCTGGAACTAGCTCTTGTAGACCAGGCTGGTCTCGAACTCCGCCTCCTTGTCCTTTGTTTTAGTGAGTTTTTACTGAAGACCCGTGCCCTGCATCATCTCCTCTAGAGCCACCTCATTTCTCCCTCCTCTGTTTTGCCCACGTTCTTAGGTCACTGCTCTCATATCCATACACTCTAAATAAATATATTAAAAATCCTCTGTCACTGCATTTCTTACTATGCAACACTTTCTGGTTTCCTTGTGAAGTTCCCTGCTAAACTGAGTTCTGTTCTGGTAAGAAATGTTTTCTGTTCATATTTCCATTTCTGTGCTAGCACATAGCTGGTACACAGGAACTCACAAATGAAAGGGTGAGAGGTTCTACCAGATCCCAGCTGTGGGGATGAAGCTGTCTTGTCCTACATGCACCATTTTTGCTGTCCACTTCGGTGTGTCCCTGTGACTAAGATTGCTTTCTTAGTTCCGTGAGCAGTGGATGCTTCCTAACTGCAGGTTGCTGAGTCAGCTGCTCTTCTCCTGGACTGAGTTCTGGGTAATCCGTGCATGATAGTTCTTCATGCCCACCTACCTCACCTTTTCTGCTCTCTTTCAAAAGAGTCAGTTAACTGTTTAGCTGTGCCTCATTGTTAATCTTTTATAGGATCAAGACTTCAACAATTAATTAGCCTTTACCCTTAAAAGTGTTGGACCTTCTCAGGATTATCTAGAGCTTTCTTATCAAGTGTGACTTATAGTATAGATTCATAATGGTCTGTAACTAAATAAGGATTGAAATCAGGAGTGAAACAGTGATTTGCAAACTAATTTTGTCTAGTTCTAAAAGTAGAGATGCAGGCTTGCATTTTACATATTCCAAAGTTGAGGGTTTTCTAATGATTAATTATTATCATGTTTATAAAAGTATAGTCCTCTAGCAAATGAAAGTAAACATTGCTACTTACCACATATCTTTTTAAAAGCCCTGGTCTATGGCCACACACTTATGCACATATGCACAGTACTAATTAAATTCGAGTTATTAATAACAATTAAACACGAAGAGGACATGAATTTGGGGAAAGAAGGAGTGGGACGCTAGGGAGTTGGAAGGACATAGTGGTGGATGACCAATATACACTGTATAAATGTACACAACCTTCAAAGAAAAAAGTATGTTTTTAAAACGCACCAATCTAGATCTTCTAATTGAACCCTTCCTCTGGACTGGTGATGCTCACATTGTGGGCTGACAGCTTGAGAATCGTTTACACCCAGGTTATGAGTCAGTTTAAGTTCTCAAGCTCACTACTGTGTGGTAGGCATTTTCATCAAATGGTAGTATTCTGCTGTATATTCTGATTTAAGCCTCCTGTGTCTTTGCAACTGCTAGCTTACAGAGACACCCCTATAGATAATTTCAGAAATCCAACTTCTACCCATTGACTGGGTTACATTTTGGAATGAGGTACATAGTATTATATGAGTAGTCTCAACCCTACATTACTCCTAGTTTTTGAACTGATGTTACCATGAAAATCTTCAAGAACACCTTAGGGTGCTTGTAAAATTCATAACAATTGCCTCATGGCCTTTAAAAATGAACTGAATTCAGCAGCATGTTTATTATTATTATTATTATTCTGTCTTTTAGAAACTCATGCACAGCAGTGAGAAAATCCAGGAATGTTCTGCTCCTTTATAGTATTAAGTAACAGAGGAGACTGTGAGATGGTCTTTGAGTATGGATTGTTGAGCCAATTCCCAAGGAATGGTATTTTGGTCAGTTTCGGTAATAGGCACTTAAGAACTAGTAACACTTAGAGATTTTGTGAATAAAACTAACAGGAAATTAGAATGTCAAGTCATGTTAGGTTGTGTTTTTCTCAAAGTCATTAATAACAAACGAGTAAATATAGCTTTGAAAATAAATTATGAAAAGTTTTCTTTGGTATGATTTATTAGGATTTTACATCTGTGTTAATGTAACTTTTAAAAATGTTTGTTTGATAGATGAGAACACGGACATTGCTGAGAACCTCTATCAGAAAGTTAAAATTCTTTGTTGGGTTATGACAAGTCCCCAAAACCTAGAGAAAAAGGCCAAACATGTCAAGGCTACATGGGCTCAGCGTTGCAATAAAGTGTTATTTATGAGTTCAGAAGAAAATCAAGACTTCCCTACTGTGGGATTGAAAACCAAAGAAGGCAGAGAGCAACTATACTGGAAAACAATCAAAGCTTTTCAGTATGTGCATGACCATTATTTAGAAGATGCTGATTGGTTTATGAAAGCAGATGATGACACATATGTAATACTGGACAATCTGAGATGGCTTCTATCAAAGTATAACCCTGAAAAACCCATTTACTTTGGGAGAAGATTTAAGCCCTATGTGAAGCAGGGATACATGAGTGGAGGAGCAGGATATGTACTAAGCAAAGAAGCCTTGAGAAGATTTGTTGATGCATTTAAAACAGAAAAATGTACACATAGTTCCTCCATTGAAGACTTAGCACTGGGAAGGTGCATGGAAATTATAAATGTAGAAGCTGGAGATTCCAGAGATACCACTGGGAAAGAAACTTTCCACCCATTTGTACCAGAGCACCACTTAATCAAAGGTTATCTACCAAAAACATTTTGGTACTGGAATTACAACTATTATCCTCCTGTAGAGGTAAGTCTAGAAATTATAGTTACTATGTAAATAACTTGGGTCTGACTTTTGTTTCTCTGAAAATATAAACCACAGACTAGTTAGTATGTATGTGTTTTATTAGTATCAATAACTAGAATGTTTTTAATGTATAGACTGACAGTATAACAAAGCAGATGAGAACAGAGGCCTCAGCCAGTCATTTAGTAGACATCTTTGATATACCTCTGCAGGCCAGCTGCTAGCACCTAGAAGTCAATACATCAAGTTCCAGTTTTTCTTTTTTTCTTTTTTTTTTTCTTTTTTCTTTTTTTGGTTTTTTTCAAGACAGGGTTTCTCTGTATTGTTTTGGAGGCTGTCCTGGAACTCGCTCGGTAGACCAGGCTGGCCTCGAACTCACAGAGATCCGCCTGCCTCTGCCTCCGAGTGCTGGGATTAAAGTCATGCGCCACCACCGCCTGGCGTTCTTTTCTTTTCTTTTTTTTTTTTTTTTTTATGTTAGAGCTACAGAATAAATGTGACTTTAGATAATGCCAGGTGCTCTAAAGCAGTGGTTCTCAACCTGTGGACTGTGACTCCTTTGACAAGCCTCTATTTCCAAAAATATTTACAATTCATAGTGGAGCAAAATTACAGTTAATGAAGTAGCTGTACTAAAGGCTTGCAGCACTAGGAAGGTTGAGAACCACTGCCGTGAAGAAAATCAGAGAGGCAGTGGGACCTAAGGTGGGATAGGCTACGTACAGAGGTGATCCTGAACCATGCTCTGGGTAAGACTAGGGAGCTGTGTGAAAGTCTAAATAATGAGCCTTATGTTATCAGGAGAAACAATAAGGTTCAGAAAGACTAGGCTCTTATCCTATTCTTCCACTTCATAGTTGGAGCATCTTGATGACAAGTCTTGGCTAATCTTTTAGCCCCAGTTTCTTCATTTGCGAAATGGGTGTGATCTGTCTGTCATTTACTTGTAATTACAGTGTTATAGCCTATGACAGTATTGATAAGCATGGCTCTAGTTTGTATCTTAATGTATATTTCTCAGAATTGTACCTGAGTAACATTGTCTTTGTGAACTATCTCAGATGTATACATCTAACTTTCCAAGTTGCCACAGTGTCTCAGATACTACAACAGTCTTGCAGACAGTTGAGGCCTCTCCCTCCCAGTCCAGTTCTCTTATCTCTTTCCCCTAAACTAAACACTGCCAGGAATTAAATGTTACTATCATGTGAACTTTTATATTTTCCCTACATGTTGATATATGCATGAATAAGTCAGCATTGCTTTCTAGATTTTATAATCCAATTGTAGCACTTACATCTTACAAATTTCCATTTTTTCATGTTGAGATATATTAACATTGATATGTCTCTCTGCTTCATCTGAGTTCTTTGTGATAATTTAATGTATGGATATGCTATAATTAATTAGTTTTGGTGTTGATAGCAGAATACCTATATGCCTATTATAAGCACCACTAGAGTGAATTACTCAATGAGGCTAAGATTATAAAACCTTGATTCTCAGACTCTGTTATTGATTAGTAGTGCCTTTAGGTAAGTCAGTAATTCTTTATGCTGAATTTTTCTGGCCCTAATATATTAATAGTACACTTCAGGGCATCACTTCAAGCCAGTGGTCCCAACGGTGTACAACACTTTCTGTCTATTGTAAGAAAACTTGATGTTTTTGTCTTAAGTTCTGAACCCCTTCCCATATAAAAATATATTCAAATTCACTGTTACAGTCATGTAACAGATATACCCAGATACATGCAATACTTCATAGAATGTCAGATATTCTATACACGTACAACAGTAGCAAAAGGACACAATGCTTATCATTTTGTAAGCAGTAGAATATCCTTCCTTCTTTTTAAAAGTGCTTTATAAAAAGGGCATATTTAACAGTATGCTTTATAGGAACAAAATAAAGTATCTTATACTTGAATCATAGTGGCTCTTAAATGTCAAAATTTTGTTGTTCTTATTAAAATGTATTCCAATAGTTTGAAGATGCAAGTATTGAAATTGTATAAATCTTCCAAAATTTATAGGAAGGTTCTACAACACCCAGCATGAAAGCAAAATACCATTTATCCATTTATGTTTCAATAATTTTTCTCTTTGCAGTGTGAATTACTATTTTCCAAGAGTTTCTTAATATACATATTTTCTCTGTAATAATCACTAAGAATATAAATTTTGTTGTTGTTTTGGAGTTTTGGTTTAATTGTTTTGTTTTGGCCTTTTTTTGTTTGTTTGTTTGTTTTCTTTTTGTGAGAAAGGAGGCTGGCCTTGAACTTCCAGTGATTATCCAGTTTCTGAGTGCTGTGGCTTCAGAGTTGTGCCACTACACCTGCTTACAAAGTTGCTTAGGTAGCAAGTTACGATGTAAGATAGGTTGATCAGAATTATGTAGTTCAGAAGTGACAGAATCTCATTTACTCTTTAGTTCAGGTATTTTTTTTATTTTACGTTAACTTTAGTCTGTCTAAAACACGTAGTTGAGATTGAGAGCTTCTGATTTTTCCATTGTTACAGCATCATTTCTTAGACTCTTTATAGTGCAGCTTCGTCATCTACCATAGCATCATCACCTGTAGAGGGTCGGTCAGGGTCTGGGATTTTAGTCCTGTGTGCTTCTTTTGGAATTTGGTTCATATTGTTTTGAACCTCTTAGCTTTAAGATGTTTTAAACCATTAAGTGTGTATTGTTTTCCTCTTTTTTTTCTCAAAGTGTTATGCCAATTGTCATGTCCTTTTCTTTGCATATAACTTATTAACTTAATGAAAATGGTATCTTTGCCCAAGAAAATTTTAATTTTATAATTTCCCTCAGATTGTTATATCTTGTGTTTGTTTCAGATTGATTTTATTTTATTGTGTGTGTGACTGTTTTGCCTGTGTATGCCTGCTGCTGCAGGTCAGAAGAGGTGTTGGATCCCCAAACTGAAGTTACTGGCCATAGTAAACCACCATGTGTGTAGGTGCTGGGAACTGAACCTGGTCTTCTGCAAGAGCAGCAAGTGCTCTTAACATTGAGTCATCTCTCCATCTCCTCTTAAATAGTCCCCTACACATTTAGTATATTTGGAACTATCTTACTTGGGCTTTTTGCTTAACTGGGATATATGATAATGTAGACAGTTTTTTTTTTTTTTTTCAGGACTGAAGGTAAAGCTGCAGACAAGGCATTGTTCTACCACTGTATCCTCAGCCCTTTGGGACCCTTTCAAAGTAGCTTTGAATCCATCTGTTGTAACATTGTTTATAGCTGGTGATTTATTTTTCACCACTTGAAATTCTTGCCACCTTCCACCTATAAGGGGCCACTTTGTTTTCTTTCCAATAATTATATTTCTTTTTTACTTAACAGTATTTTATTGATGATGGTTGAGAGCAATATTTTAGCTATATACTAAAAATGTCAGACAAATAAAGCCTTATTCTTTGTATAGCTTCTCCTTTAATTTGAAGAAATCAAGAATTTTAAATGGACAAGCACTAAATAATGTTAAGAAAATACAGATTTAGTTGAAAGTGCTTTGGCAGTTCCAGATTGGGTTTTAAATTCTTGGGAATGGAGAGAAGTGTTGGCATCTTACACCATCTGATGGGTTCTCCCTCAAGCTTTGATGCTTCAGGGTTTTAACTGGTGTGGAATGTGTACTACTGTGCCCTTATTAACAGTGTCACCTCTGTTATTTTCTAGGGTCCTGGTTGCTGTTCTGATATTGCAGTTTCTTTTCACTATGTTGATTCCACAACTATGTATGAATTAGAATACCTCGTTTATCATCTTCGTCCATATGGTTATTTATATAGATATCAACCTGCCTTACCGGAGGATATACTAAAAGAAATTAATCAAGCAAACAAAAACGAAGATACAAAAGTAAAATTAGGCAACCCTTGAAAGCAGAACGGGAGTGGACTGAGGTTGAATGGTCTACATTGCACTGAAGGACTCCTGCCTTTCTGACAGAACCCTGAAACCCCAGGGAGGAACTCATCTGCAGTGAACATTCCATATAGAAATTTTTCCAGTGGATGACTATAATCTGAAGCATTTAAAGAGCTGTGAAGTCTGTTAAGATGTGTTTTGATACAGTAATATATAACTATATATATATATGAAGAATTTGTGTTTTTAAAATGGTGAAAGATAGAAGAGCTAGAAAGACTCTGTCCCCTGTTCCTGACTGTGTGTTGTCACTAAAGCTGGAGTGGTTCAGTTTGTAATCACCTATTGCACTGCACCGTTAGAACACAATGCTGAATAGATCTGCCTTAAAACTAGAAAGAAATACTGTTGCTCAATATACACTCTGCTCATGTGTATATGATACAAAGCAGCCTCCCAATTGCTGAATGAAAACTTTTCTGTGATTATATTACTTATAATTGGCCGTGTTTCCTCAAGAAGTAGAATAAGAATGACACCCTGAAGTTCACTAATAAACCACATTTTTCGATTACTATGGGCCTTGACTACATTGTATGCTTAGTTCTATATATAATCAACCTTGTACCAAGTCCCCATTGCCTCCTTTCTAAATGCTTAACTCTTGAAGACCATTCTTACCATTAATGCTTATTTACTCAAAACATTGTCAGCATTCTATAAAATATGCGTTTAAAAATATTCTGTCTCCAAATTCACCCATTGTTAATTGTGGGTAACCTAATTAAATTTAATGCTATTTGGACAAGATTTTCTTGAATCGGTACCACTCTCGGGAATTATTAATGACATTGCAAATCAGTTATTTCAGAGTCTTTCCAACTACATAATTATTGTTCCTCTTATTTTCATCCTGTGGAGATGGAATTTGTTGTGCCTTTCATAACTTGCTTAAAGCACTTTTAAAATTAATTTTTATGTCTGATGTGCCTATTAACACTGGCAAAAATTTTTAAATGTGGCTTTTGGCCAGAATTAATTAAAAACACTAGCAAGTAAAGAATACTTAAGAGAAGCTAAAATATCAAATACTTTATTTATAGATAACAATATTTCATGCTGAATTCTTATTTGGAGATAATTGTCTTGCCAGTGTAAATCTAAGAACAGAGTCCCATTCAAAACTGCCATCAGAATAATCTGTATCATTCCAACTCCCGTGACCGCTGAGTTTCTAAGAGTATAGAAAAACTTCTGAGTGGAGAGCGGAATATTTTACAGATTTTCCATAAAATTATTTTTAATTGTGAATGATTTACTTTTCTTATTATGCTAATTTTGCATGATTATTACACCATTGACTACAGTTTAGCTAAATAATAAATACAAATAATTTATATGTATTGTGCCAAAACCATAACCTCTATAGATGATATATTTGAAGGGGTGTTTATTTCATTGGCTGGTTAGGATCACTCTGTCCTATTTTGGTTTGGGTTCTCACAGTAGTGTCATCTACTGATAACCTAGGCTTTGTAGTCTACTCTTTGAACAGCTCTTTACCATGATTGGGACATGAATTCATCTGTGTTCCATATATGTTACTCTTCTTTACTAACAGAGTAAATGACTCCTCCAAAAATTTTAATGTTGACAAGAAACAAATGCTACAATGAATCCTGGGCTACAGAGTCAAGCAGCCTGGCTTTTAAGTTCCTCCTCCATCACTATGTAACCTTGAACAATTAATCTTTCTGTGCCTCAATTTCCCCATCTAAAAATTAGGGATAATGATACTACCTACCTCACATGATATTAATGAGGATTATATAAATGACTGGACATAAGGTTATGAGAACACTGTATGGCCCAGAATAGGACATGGTCTTAAGCAGGTTTTATCCTGTTACCTTGGAGTGCAAATAATTGATTCAGATAAATAAAATAATCAAGTCATATCTGAAGGAAATACTTTGCACATTTCTTAAGATAAGTAATATATAGTATTCATCTAGTGCCTGCTTTATGTCAGGTACTGATTGTATTCAGTACAATTGTGTTAATCTTCATAAATTGGGTGTTATTTCCATATTGTAGATAGGGAAACTGAGGCTCAAAGAATCCGAATAATGTTTCCACTGTCACAGTGCTAATAAGTAAGAAGGCTTGGATTTATAATCCAAACCTGTGTGTTGTTTGTATTATGTCAGCTCTAGGGTTAGTCATGTATGTATGTATGTAATAACGAAATATGTATACGCACAGAGAGACATGTATGAGTACTACATAACATCTGGTACTTTTCACCAGTAAATAGTCCAAGTGGTCAAACAGCTAAATTGGTATGGTGATTCTTAAATTGTGATCCTCACCCCCTTACCTGGTGTTGACTTTTGGCATGCGGCCCTGAGGTATTCATAACCAGATACCTTCTAGTGAGAGTTACTAAATTAGCACTGCTGGCAGCTTGGTGGAGCTTGTAGCCCGTCTTCACCACACCCAGATCACCTGAGTCAGAACTCCAAGATAGAGGCTGGCAGTTTGGTTTAAAGAGGCCCTGAAAGTTGGTCTTACTAATGCTATGTTGAGAACCACTGTCTGTTTACCTACGTGAATTTGGTGCAAATAGTCTTTGGAATACACTCAGGAATTCTGCCCAGGAGAAAGGCATTTTTCAAAGACTAAAACTTGTTTAAAATCAGTGTAGTCCAGGATCATAATATATTAAAAGTAAATGCTGTGGGGTTTAAAGGGTTGGTGCATTATTGGTTTGGGCAAAATTCTTTACTTCTCTATAGTGACTGTTATTAGGACCCTCAAAATCTATAATTCTCCAAGTTTAGTCATTATACACTGAGCAGAAAGGGTTCAGTAAGTGTTAATATGTATATATGGATTCATTAAAACATATAAATTAATATCATGAAAAATGTCCACTAGTTGCTAAAATTTACCAATAGAAATAGAAAAGTGCTACTTCGTAATATGCCATAATTTATACCATCAGCTTACATTTTGTCATTCTCAAACATCATTTGCTTATCCTATGATCTAATGAAGCAAAATTTTTCTCCCAAGTGAATGGTAAAGCACATTAAACAAGATTTTATGGCAATAATGATTTATTTGCCATCCTTTAAATTAACATCTGCCATGTGAATAGTTGATTGTAGTGTGGTTTCAAGGCATAAGATTTAATAAAGTCTTATGTTCTCTATTAATAATATGCTTATATGTTTTTCTAGTGGGAAATTCATAAATACAAAGCAGATTTTTGTCCCAGAGTTTGACTATTTGAACATAATCTAAATTTCAGAGATCAATTTGTTATTATAAAGGATGACATACCAAATCACTGACCAGTTCATACTATGTTTTGAATGTGGTAATTGGGTTCGAGCATTAAGTTTGCTAACTGGTTGTTTTCGTAGTTATTTTTTACCTTCTTAGCCTGTCAAACTGTATTGCTAGACGAAGGCCCTGTTGTACTTGAAAGCCGCCCACACTTGGTTTATCAGCTCCTACTCTAGCTGTGTCCTTGCTTTTTCAGTGCCGTGAGGTCATTATTCTGTCTTGGCATGTCCTTTATGCTTCACCTCTGCTTTCTAGTTCCTCATAGTGCTGTCTCCTTGGGGTGGATTTGGGTGATCAGAGTGTCTATCATTTGTAATGGTTTTATGCCTACTACATTTGGATTTCCATGAGACTAAAGTACAATACTAGTAATTGCTGGCTTTCAGACTACTTACCCTAACTGAACATGTACAACCTAAAACAATTCTACATTGATAATTAAAGGAAGTAAAGTTATTTACTCTCTTAAAAGAAAAAAAATGACTTATTTTCTCTTGTATTAGGCCTGAGAGAAACATACATGGGAAATCTGGTAGACAAGCTGTGGTATATTTTACACTAATGTAACCTCTATTGACTAAAGATGACTTCCAGTTATGTATCAGAGCTGTATTGAAATCTTAACACCGATTAAAATGAGAACTTTGTACAGATCCTCTTCTGAGAAGCAACTTAAAAGCAGCGTTGGAGTTGAGTGGACTTGGATTCACTCCTCATCTCCTGAGTTTCCAGTTACAGTGGAACTGTGTGACTTTGCAGGGCGCTATAATGAATGATCTACATGAAGTGTATTAGAGGGGAACTAACCTCACTGCTAAGCAGTGTGTTGTATTATACAGTGAATGTTTGTGTTTGGGAATTCAAAAATTATTTAAAGTAATAGTGTCAATGAAGGGTTTAAAAATGTCTGGTGACTTGCTTATTTTAAGTGATCACCATTAAGACAGAAAAATGTATTTTTAAATGTTTTTTAAAGTGCCTTTTGAAAATTTTTAAACAATGGATTCAAACAACTGCATTAAAATAAATGACCATGTTCAAAATTGCTTCATCTGCTTATTTTTAACCGGTATAAGGGGGTAGATACCTTTTATGGATAGTTTTGGGGATTTTTCTATCAAAGCTTTTCCATTTGTATAAGCTTTCATAATTGTTCTAGATTATACATTATGTATGGCAACAAAGTGTCCATATGTGGCTTAGAATAACAAATTTTTAAAATTTACTCACTAGTCCTGGAAAGAAGGACAGTGGGGAGATAGGAGGGGGAAACATAATGAGAGATCACAAGGAAGGAGAGGAGAAAGATTGCTTTCCCGTTATTTTTATCCTTCATCTAACCTGAGGAATCCATTTATTCAATAACTACACCAGGCATCAGCTTGAAATACAGTGGCAAGTAGAACACAAAGGCTCCCTGTTCTCCAGTTGTCATTCTCAAGCCAGGAAATAGGCCAATAGAAGGAAGTGATATAGGAGAACAAGGAACAATAACAAAGCAATTTTCTCAATGGTGTCTGAAAGAACTCTGAGAAAGTAACTCCAGCATGAATGAGTTTCTGGAGTTGTCTATACCTTTGAAACTCTTTGTTCTTGTCATAAACATAGGCTGCTGTCTTTGCTTGAGGATGCTTTGGACACATGTGTGAGCTCACTGAGATGTGAGGATGACCGAGAATACTTGTGTTTGTGGTCTGGATTCATCTGCTGCTCAGGTCTACTAATATTAAATTGGTCTGTGATACTTCAGATACAAATCAAAACTGACTTTATATCCTTGCTAGGCAAACATCGCAAATGTTCATGGGGTTCTTGAGTCCAACCAGTGTAACTCATTTATAACCCACTATCCATATGCTCATCATTGCCGTACATATCTGCTGCGTATGTGTGGCAGCAGCTTATAAAGGCAGAGATATCACCTAATAGTGCTTTAGTAACAGTGTGGTGACTTGGTTATATTGACTTACTCAGATACTAAAATGTTTCCATTAATAAATTAGTGATGCTATTTTAAGTCATTTTAAGTATTTATATAAATACATGCAGTTAAATTTCCCAGAAGTAGAACCTTATAGTACTAGAAATAATACAAAACTACTGAATGTGTCTGGTCTCTAAAAGGAAGAGCCTTACCTTAAATATATACTATATACAATATATAGTTAATATATCAGACAGTATAGATGATGCAGTAGAAATTCTTTTTCAGACCAAATGGACATTTAACAACTGAAGTTCAGTTCAGCGACTTCCATGTTCTCTAAATAACTCTACTAGTAACATGAAAGTATGTTGCCAGCAGTTTGATTTGTTTTTAATAATGAGTGAATTTTGTGCAGCTGCTTAGAACTTTGGTCTTTAAACTATTTCTCTTGCATTCTGTTACTGGTAGGGTTTGGGGGTTTTATTATTTTGTTTTTTGCTTCTTTCTATGACTGAAAATTTGCATTTGTTTGGTACAACTGAACACACCTTCCATTGTAACAAAAATCTCCTGCACTTTTAAATGAAATTGAGCCCTAGATCTTTAGTTGTCTGAGTTTTCTAATGAATCCCCAGTTAAAGAGTCACAGTACTTTGTCATTCTTAATACCAGCAATTTGAACAAAACGCCCTGGTTTGGATTTTTGTAAGCCTCACCTTACTGTTGTTACAGATACACTTTTCATTGCCCTCCCCGCTCCTTGTAACAAAATCACACTCTGGATTGGATTTCACTTTCCACCGATGTTGTCATTGTTACAATGTGGGAATGTGATGATAAAATCCGGAAGTAGGGAGAGCATGATTCAACATTTCAATATTTCCATCTGTTCTATACAAAGTCGTCTTGTTTTTGTGTTTAGTAAGATGTGTGTGAGACAATATTGTCTCAGTTACTTTTCTATTGCTGTGACAAAAGACTACCAAGGCAGCTTGTGGTTTCCGAGGGTTCGAGTCCGTGTTTGTTCAAAGGCAATGGTAGTAGGGACAGCTGAGCCCTCACATCTTAATCCCAAAGTAGGAAGTAGAGAGAACCCTGGGGAGGGTATACACCTTTTGAAACTTCAAAGCCCACCCCCAGGGACACGTCTCTTTCAACAAGAACACACCTCCTGGTCCTTCCCAGTTCCACTAACTGGGGACCAAATATTGAGACATGAGCCAATGGGGGCCATTCTTAGAGTCCTTGATGGCATACATGTGTGTATGTATATGCATGCATGTGTGTATGTATATATGAATATTATATATTTATATATCATCTATGTTTTTAAATAGTCACTCTGTAGCCTAGGTAGGGTTTAAGTTTGTGCTCCTCTGCCTCTGTCTCCCAAGCAGCTAGAATTACAAGCTTGTGGCACCGGGCCCAGCTCCAATGCCACCTCTTGAATCACAGTGTGCTTTAAGATGTTATGCTCATCCACAGCCTGATCCTACCATGTCATTCCATATTGTTTACTGATGCTTATTACCCAAATATTAACTCTGCACACAAATTCAGCTCCTAATCAAACATTTTAAGCCATATTTGAGTGTCTGCTTTAAGTTAATCACCTCAACTGTGTACTAGGCAAGTGATTTCTTTTGTTTTTGGTTTCAAGGAACCCACTTTCTATGAGGAATAAAATGAAAGAAAAAAACCTTAAAGGTAGTTACACACATTAGGATTATACATCCAGACAGTGAGTATGTTAGCTACTTTACACTATACTACTGGTTGATAATCTTTAATCATAATCCTGGTAGTGGATGCAAGCTCTTTGTAGGTGAAGTAATTTATCCAGGTCTGTATGGATGACAAGTGGCAGAATCAACATTTCTAGTCAATGAAATAGATTATTAATCACTATTATAGTTTAATAAAGAATAGGAAAAGAACTCTTGACCAACTGAGTGTTTTGTGTCATTTTCTTTCCTGGAAGTGCTATTCAATGACTGTGTCCACCTTTATTGTCTGGAATTTACTTAATGAACCTGATCTCTTCTATGAAGTCATTCTAGATCAACATAGTCAGAAGTAATTTCTCCCTTCTCGGCCATATTCTAGTGCTGCTCTTTAAATAGTTCAGTGGTGTTTGGGAGTATTTTTGTCCATTTTTATTTCATTATCCTTTATGTGTGTGCACATTAATGCTTACATACGCTTTGATATAATATTGGTACATTAGTATGTGGAAAGTCAAAATACATGATCAAAACCACTTTACTAATAAAATATTGAATTTCATTCTTGCCAAAACTAGAGTCACTCTCTAGCAAAGTGTATGTCCCAGTGAGCTAAAGTTCTCAGAGAGGATCTGCTGGTCCTGATGTGCTGACAGGGGCAGCCAATGCCTGTACTAGTGCTCAGTACAGAGATGTGCTCTACACATTAGAGAATTGGTACCTACTTAACCATATTCCAGCCCCTTTAAAAATAAAGGAAATCCACTCAGTTCTGTGAAGTTAGTTATGTCATCAGTTTTATCCCTCACAGATGGTCTTACAGAACAGTTTGTAACTCCTCCTGGGGTGATCTCTTTAACCAAGATTTCACATCCTGATACACCTAAGCTAAGGTCCTTTCTAGACGACCACAGAATGAAGAAGAGAAAGTTTGTACAAGTATCGCAAACAACTGAGTGGACACCCACAAGCTTAAGTAACCTAAGAGTGAGCAGGAAGGTGATTAGTCAGAATCTTAGGGTTCTTCATCCATTAATAGTGGAACATCTTGAGAATTCATTGAGAGACCAGGGTTTCCAATGGCAGGTGTTTTCTCTATCAGATGCTGCAGTTGGGAATGATACTTATTGAAAATTCTCAGGGACCAGAACTGGGTATTTTGTTTACTAACCAGAAAGCACTGAAGAAGGGGGAACTGGAGGAACCAGATGCTACACAGAAAAGACTTGAGCAGCATCCCCAGGCACCCCATAGCCAGCCCATAGCCAGTGGTAAGTGTGGAGCCTCACCCAGCCTTTTATACCATAACTTCGTACTGCCAAGACAGCTTAAGCTTATGAAGCACCCTGAAGCTGGGTGCCTGAAAAGGGGAATTATACTTCTCTGCAGAAACCCATCAGCCCATCCAAGCTGTCAAGGCCAAGAAGTGGTGTTTGTCTAAGAAATACTTTCTTTAAAATATCTAGAATGCTTCCCTCTCTTTTATGTTAGTTTTCTCAAAACACAGAAAAGTAGAAATCAAGAAATTGGCCACCACTCAAAAGTAAACCGTGTTACCCGTTGCATATTCCCCAGTAACTTTTTATTCAGGGGGGGTCAGTAAATCAGTAAATTTAGTAAGTTATGAGGTCAACTACTTTTTAAAAATTAAACATTAAGGTTCAAGGATTGAAATTCATGCAACATAATTCTAAATTCTACCACGCATATGTAACGATAGACCAACTACCTAAATGTATACTTAGCACTACCTTAATATTATGTCATGCCGAGCCCACTGTGCAGCCTGTATCCGAGAATGTGGCGAGGGTGTCGGGATTGATGACACAGAGGCCAGTCAGTTGCGTTAAGAAAACTTTATGCTCCCCGAGAAGGCTCAAGAGAACTTCCCAAGAAATGCTTCCCTCCAGAAAAGCTTCTGCCACACACATACACACACACACACATTTCCTCCTCCTGGCTGGTGGTTATATCCCTGACACCAGAATGGGTAGCAGCAGCAGGGGCAGGAAGAGGCAGCTAGCCATTGGAAAGATCAAAGTCAGGGTGTTTCAGTGAGTGAGCCCTTATCGGGAACTTACAGCTCCGGGAAACATTTCTTAGGGCACTGGATTGTTTTCAATAAACATGTTTTCAGTAAACATTGTCTCACAGCTGCCTGCTCCCAGGCTGATGGGGAAGTGCGTCTCTGGCCAAGGTCTGTTGTTCCCACAATGGCATATATGTAAAATAGAGTTCTTAAAATCTACAGATTGACCTAGAGTGAGGATGGCCTGGGATCTAAGCAGCAACAAAATAGTCACTTCTGTGGAAGGAAGGGGAGGAGGAGAAATAGCAGATTGCCTTTAGGGTCCTCTGTAACAACATCCAGTGCTAAAGCAGAACCTACCACATCCTCATGGTGCCTGGGGAAAGCCAGTCTAGATCCCAAACACCAAGTGAGAAAAGTCAGGGAACATGGCTATGAAAGCTGGTTGGTGACATCCATTAAAGCAAGAAGAGTAGACAAAGACAGAAGGATGTGTGTGCTGGTTATCCCATTATTTCAATACAAAATTAAGATAGCAGAACGTGGTTGTAAACCTTGGTTTAAAAAAAAAAGACAAGTGAGGAAATGGAAGATGGGAAGCTTAATTCCTTTGAGCTTTCAAAAGTTAGAAATTTTGTGAAATGTGTTCATCAAGAAAGAGGAACAGAATATGCCAAATATGGTCATAAAATTACCAAAATCACTGGAAATAGAAGCCTGTTAACTCTTAAGATGTAAATGTGAAGATAACCCAGCCATGGGACAAAAGATAGAGAACTAAGACTCATGTAAATATGCCCGTGTACCCTCCCACATACATAGAATTGGAAGGAGATTCATTGTCATATTATGTTTTGAAAGGTTTTCACAGTCTTTGTTTGTGTCTTTGATAGTAGAGATTGTCTAAGGGAGGAAAGGGCCCCTGTCCCTCAGTCACGGGTGCTGTTGCTGCCTGTGGTGAAGAATAGCCACGGACACCCTTAAACAGTGTTTTGGGTACTCCCATGAAGAGGCAGGATCTCAAAGCTGTCATGAGGAATGTTTCCATAGAGAATATAATGGTGACTGCTTGGTTGATGTCAGTGGGTAGGGGAGAGAAGTATCACCATGAAGTCAGCACTAGTCAAGCCATTCAATGACCAGGAGCCATCTCTTAGCATTCCTCCTTCCACCCACTTTGAGGACAAAAATACTTGGTAGCTACTCTTTATTCTCTAAGCCTTGAAGTTATGAATCAGTTCCATACCCGAAATAACATCTATTCTGGCTTAGGTCTTCTTTTGTCTTTCACCGAGAGAGAAGACGATGAGTAAGCTCTTCTCCATATTAAAAACAAACAAAACCCTGCCATTATCTAGAGATTAAAGGTGTACAAACAACTTCTTCTGAAAATCCAGAAAGAGGCCCAGAGACACTAAGCTTATCGAGATGGCAATGGATGCCACATGTGGAATAGCTTATTATTATTATATTTAGTCTGTATTTTCCTGCCATTTGCAAACATATTGCAGGTACCATAATAGTTTGCAAGCTCTGTTATGGGTATTTAAATTGTTTTTCTCTGTAATAATCAAAGTGTGTAGTCCAGGTATTAGTAACAAAATGGAAGCTGAAGGAGGCTGGGCATTAATTCCTGTGGTGTGTTCACTAGACACCTTATTGGTAATTAGCCTGGGATCTTGAAATGAGCTAATTCTGATGTCCTTCAAGAGACAGGAGAAGGGCAGTTGTCACACAGAGAGAAACAGAGAAGACCATGTGGACAGAGAGTCAAGATTGAAGATAAGATCCCACAAACCAAGGAGTGCTAGGAGTCACTAGATGCCAGAGGAGACGGGAATTCTCTCTAGAGCTTTTGGAGACAATGTGGCCATGCTGGCCCATGAATTACAGGTCTTCAAATTCCAGAACTATGAGCAAATAGCTTTCTGTTGTTTTAAGTCTCTAGAGTTTGGTGTAATTTTTTTACAGCAGCCCAAAATAAACAGTGCTTGTTACAAACGGGCTGGAAAGCAGCCCTGGAGGGTTCAGTTTGAGGCATCTGACTCCCAAGCCCCTGGGAATTTTAAAGAACATGCTGTGCAGTGGCTGCCTGCCCTTCCTGGCTGATTCTGTTCAACCCGGAAGCCTCACTTGCTGACTCTTAGACACGTGTCCTTTCAGAACCAGTTTTTATTCAGAAGTTCTGTTTAACCGCCACTCAGCACACTGTACTGTGTCCACTGTGGGCTTCCCAGCATTCAGCACACTGCATTGTGTCCACTGGGGGCTTCTCTTGCCAGCACTCCGGGGGAAAATTAAGTGACTGGTTTTTAAATTATAGAGGAGGGTTGTTGTGCCCTATGTGAACAGGGGTCAGGTGTCCTATTTCCAATTTTGTATGATAAATAATGTATTTACACGCACACACACACACACGCACGCACACATACACAGACACACACATACATATATATATATGTATATATATATATATAGAGAGAGAGAGAGAGAGAGAGAGAGAGAGAGCATTGAGATAAATGGTGATAGACCCTGTCACTCTAAGAGAAGTTTTGAGGCTAGTATATAGTCCCTACTTTATTCTCTCCCATACTTATGGAATTGTCTAGCAGAAACACCTTTCTTATAGATGCAGTGACTTCCCATACCACACCACCAGGCAAAAAGCCTTGCATTGATGTTAAGAGGATGTAGGCCAGAAAAGGGAAAGAAGATGAGAACCTGTATCTGAGGCCACCACACACTCTAGACACAGGACTTGGAGGAATCCAGCTGGTACTGACCTGGGACTAACTCCCATAGCACCAGAAGGTGCTGTTCAAGCTGCCAAAGATAAAAAACAAAACAAAAACAAACAAAAAACAAAACCAACAGTCCTACCCAGCTTTGGTCCACAACAATGACCAGCCACTCAAGATATCCCTAGGAGTGCTTCTTTCTCGAGAGTAACCAACATCTGTCTAATGGGACTGAGACACTCATTAGAAGGGAACTCATGCCTGGTACCATAAACCTAAGTAATTAGCCATGACTGGAGGACTCATGGACCCTAGAGGAGAAACTACTACCATTTTTCTAAATCAATATAACTTCTAATAGTATTATAAACACACCTACAGGTTAGGTGTAGCCCACACCCCTCATCAAAGAAGCTCCTTTTTGTAGCAGATAAAGGCTGCTACATAGATCCATAGATGGTCAGAATGCAAAGAGTACTGGGCATAAGCTACCCAACCCCAATTAGTACATCTACTTAGTTACCCATCCCAATTAGTACATCTACAAACCTACCCATCCCCAATTGGTACATCTACAAGGCTATCCATCCCCAGTTAGTACATTATCTACAAAGCTACCCATCCCCAGTGGATACATCATCTACAAGGCTACCCATCCCCAGTTAGTACATCATCTACAAAGCTACCCATCCCCAGTTAGTACATCATCTACAAAGCTACCCATCCCCAGTTAGTAAATCATCTACAAGGCTACCCATCCCCAGTTAGTACACCATCTACAAAGCTACCCATCCCCAGTTAGTACATCATCTACAAAGCTACCCATCCCCAGTTAGTACATCATCTGCAAAGCTACCCATCCCCAGTTAGTAGTACCTCTACAATAAATCCCCTGCACCTAAGACTCTGGGAAGATGGTGCAATGGGGCTG